GTGTACAAACCCTCTACTCATCTTCCTGCAATAACCATCCTCCATCCCCGGACAGATGAGTAGGGACAGACCCTCCGGTTGTCTCACCCGGATCCAAAGGTGTCCGACAACCGGCGCCAAACACATGAACAATGTTAGGACCAAAATTGATTCTAATTATTCTAAAAGTTTTATCAAGCAATCGGGGCCAAGGATGGAAGATCTGAAGATGTTGTTGTGCTAAATTGACTAAGTTTGGAAAATGACCAGAGCCCCTCTGGACAACCAGAGCCTCTGGTTGTATAGACTAGAGCCTCTGGACTCTAAGTCCTTCAGGACCAGAGCCCCTTTGGTTGTATGGACCAGAGCCTCTGGACTTTAAGTCCTTCAGGACCAGAGCCCCTCTTGTTGTATAGAGCAGAGCCTCTCTGGACGACCAGAGCCTCTGGTTGTATAGACTAGTGCCTTTAGACTCTAAGTCCTTCAGGACCAGAGCCCCTCTGGTTGTATAGACCAGAGCCTCTCTGGATGGTCTATCCTATGGTTGGTCTATCCTCTGGACGACTATCTTCAGAATCTTGAAGGATGATGCTTATCCTGTTTTCGATAATGATTATTTCCTTGTTTATAGGATTCAATTATCATGTAAATATTGTCTATATAAGGAGTGATACAGGTATAGAATAAAAGTAACCATGAAACAACAATTATGAATACAATATGGGTAACACATACACCTATAGAGCACATAATAGGCATATATCCAAGTAAACTCACAATAGAATTCRGTTGAATTAAACCGAATGTCAAACCGAGTGGTCGAATTTCCCAATCAAAGTTGGAAAACCACCTCCAAGACTTCCATACAAGCTCAAACAATCCCTGGAAGATATATATTCAAAGTCTCATTAGTGAAGCACAACAAGAACTCACTCAAACCTTATTTCGATTAAGGTACTCTACTTTGGATTTCAATATAAATACTCAACTTGCAGAGCTGTTTTACCCCTTTAAAACTCAAAATCACCAATTCAGATCTAAAGGCAAGTTGTAGCCCTTTCTCTTACCTTTCTAGGGCCTATTTATTCCTAGTTTTTCGAATTTTCTATGATTTTCTATGGTTTTCCAAAAACARGGCTGTAATCATCCTATCAAATGCTCAAAACACCCATTTTCCTCCAAAACATTACCAATACTAGCCCAATAAGTTCCAAATTCATAGTTTAACTTATTTTTACCAAATTCCACAATAAATCAATGATAAACCAATGATTATAACATCAATTTCTACTAATTTCGTTGTATCTCAAATTGACTCCTAAAAAGTCAACACTTGTTCTTGAGCTAACATCACATTTTCAAGAAATCTTACAATCCATCCTTGGATTTCACATAATAACTAATAATAACACTTAGTCCTAACATAATTTCATGATTTCAACTGTAAATCATCACATGCAAGGACTCAAACTCTATGCATGTCATCAAAATGAAGATAGAATATGAGTTTTACCTTCGATTTCTTTATAAATCCTTCAATAATCTTGATAAAACACTTGATTTAGGGATAGATTAACTCCCAAGTGTGTGTAATCGCACCTTAGAACACAAAGACTGATTTTGAGAGAAAACGGGGTTGAAAATGGGGCTGATTTGATGATTTGCGACCTAAATCCCGAGTTGGGTCGGGTTGACCCGGCTGGGTACCTGTTTTGACCCCTAAACACTAAAACAATTGCATAACTTTTTGCTCGGGACTCCGTTTTCGATGAGGTTTTCGCCTACGCGTCCGAAACGAGATAACCTACAAACTCCAATAAAAAGATTCCATTGTTAGAACCATTGCTCAAAACCATATCCGAAAATTCGATGTTTTCAACACATAATTAAGCGTATTAGGAAGATGGATGTTACAAAAACCTCCTCCTTTTGAGGATTTCGTCCTCGAAATCAAGGTCTCTCAAATAACTCCGGATACTTAGCCTTCATTTCATCTTTGTTCTCCCACGTCCAATTCGGACCACGGTGATGCTTCCATTTAACGAGGACCAAATCTACGATCTTGTTTCGTAGATTAACGATTCTTTCATTAAGAATGGCCTCGGGTTCTTCTATGTACCTCAATATTTTATCCAACTTGACCTCGGCCAAAGGAACGGTCTTCTCATGCTTACCCAAGCCTTTCCTTAGATAGCTAACGTGGAAAACGTCATGAATACCAGAGAGTTCTTCTGGCAACTCCAAACGATAGGCTTGTTTTCCAATACATTCAAGGATTTTAAAGGGTCCAACGAAACATGGACTCAACTTCCCTTTCTTACCAAACTGTAGAATTCCCTTCCAAGGTGATACTTTCAGCATCACCATATCTCCCACTTCAAACTGAATCGGTCGTCGTCGTTTGTCGGCATAAGATTTATGTCGATCTTGGGCTGCTTTCATTCTTTCACGTATAACCCGTATCTTATCATGTGTGACTTGAATCAACTCGGGTCCAGCCAACA